CACACACACACACACACACACACACACACACACACACAGCCATTTTTATATATAATCAGTGAAGCACATGACTGGTTTTTTTTTTCTTTCTCAATTATCTAGCATGCATTGACATGTCTTGTATTCATCAGCTTCTTTGAAAGTCAGCTTGAACATATGGCATTTCTTTTTCAATGTAGAGTTCTAATCTGCATTGGATGATCCTAAGTATTATTTTGTTAGCATGTGAAATGAGGGACCTAGAAAGTGTCTCTAGAGAATTTTGTATCAAGAAAGAGTATGGAGGGGTAGCTCAGAACTAGAAAATTCTGGACAAAATAGGTCACAGCATTGATTGAAACTCCTATTGCCCAGTGATTTCAGGTAATAGAAAACTCACTGAAAACTAAATTTGCTTTGATAAATACAATATCAGAGTATATCAAAATATTAGTTAATTAAAAACAGTGGATATAAGAACAGTAGACTGCCAGATTAATGTAGATTTCTAGCTAAATGCTTAATCTGTAGAAATTAGCAGATTCTTTGAATCAAAAGGACTGTGTGTCCCTAAATCTTCCTAGTTCGATCTGCAACCATAGGTTCTTCTTTGATTCCTAGGATTATGCATTTTTAAACGCACTTTGGGTCGTGGTTTGCCAGCACTTCCAATGAAGGCTGCCTAAGGACGTTTTCATGAATATGCAAATGTTGTTCACTTCGTTGCTCTGTTTTCAGGAATTCTCCTGCATTCGTCCTGTTCTTCATCCTCTGGAAAGCAGCCTATATGTTGCAACTAGGAACCCGAAGTCTAACTGCGAAATAATTGAGGTTAACTCTTTGATATGTCACTCGGCATCCACCCAAGTCAATCCGCAGTGGAGGAGGATTATAGGACCCCATGTGGCCAAATCAGAAAATGCAGTGAAAATGATGACACGAATGCATGACTTTAGAACTCAAGCGATTTTTAACCAAGAGAAAGTTTTTGTCTTGCAACTTCTTTGTGTATAATAATGCGGATAGACAAGTGGGGGGAAAAATCTAGTGTTTTATAAAACTGTGATCGTCCCCAACAAGACAGCGGTCTTTTCTCTTCTGGTCCAGGTCTGATTTCTAATCAAATAAGGGGATCACAAAACTTAAGAACCTTGAGGTTGGAGAGGCTGCAAAATGGGCAAAGTGGGGAATGGTGTAAGGACATTTTATTTTTATTTGAGAATTCTAGGCTTTACTTTCACGACTATATTACTGCAGTGCTTTGCATAATTGTTGGAAAATGCTCTTTCTGCTGCATCCTTATTTTATTATTAGATTTTTATGCCGCCTTTATTACTTTGTAAGTAACTCGAATGGCAAACATACCTAATATTTCTTCCTCCTGGTTTTCCACACAACAATCCTGCAAGGTGGGTCGGGTTGAGAGAGAGTAGTGATTGCCTCAAAGTCACCCAGCCAGTTTTGCAACTCAGACGGGAGAATAAGCCTTTCGGGCGGGGAAAAATCCTACCCCAATCACGTGATGAGAAAGTGGCATTATTTGGAAGTAAGACATACTTTGATTTAATTAGGCACCTGAGGCTATTTTCGTTGTTCACAGAAGTCTATCCCAATAAAGTCGGCATAGATACCAAGCGCGTAATATTCTCCCTGAAAGTTTTAGAATGATTAGCGGAAAACAATTCATTGAAGAAAGGTAGAGGAAGGACAGCGGCACCTTTCACTGCAAGGCAAAGGCAGTGAAAATGCGAAAAGGGAATTCTAAGCTTTGTCATTGGGTGGGACGCAAAAAAAAAAGAGGAACGGCCAATCGCTGGTGAGAGGGGCGGAGAATAGTTAGCAAAAAAGGGAAAGGGAATTCTAGGCTTTGTCAATAGAGTGGAAGGCTAAAGTGGGAGGAATAGCCAATCGCCGGTGAGAGGGGCGGAGAGTTAGTCGCAGAAAGGGAATTCTAAGCTTTGTCATTGGGTGGAACGCAAAAAAGTAAAAGGAACAGCCAATCGCTGGTGAGAGAGGCGGAGAATAGTTAGCAAAAAAGGGAAAGGGAATTATAGGCTTTGTCAATAGAGTGGAAGGCTAAAGTGGGAGGAGCAGCCAATCGCCGGCGAGAGAGGCGAAGAGTAGTCGCAGAAAGGGAAAGGGAATTCTAAGCTTTGTCATTGGGTGGAACGCAAAAAGTGGGAGGAGGAGTTAATCGCCGGCGAGAGGGTCGGAGAATAGTAGAAGACGAGTCTTCTTTCTCCACCAGGAAATGACAGGCGAGAGGCGACGAAGCCTTCTAGCCACGTGATTCGAAGGAAGGGGCGGGATTCATTTGACTGACTTCTCTGGGGCGAAGCGGCGAGGCGAGGAAGTGAGATTCTCTTGAGGAAACTATAGGATTCTTAGCTAAGCCGTCCCGGGGAGTGGCAGGTGATTTCAGAGGTAGAACAATAACATGCACGTCGATGAAGCTGAAAGTGATGTGGACAGCGGTGCCTGCCTTTCCCACGTTAGCACGTGGGGAAAAGCCGGTGCGCGCAACTGGGTGGGCATTTTTGAGTAGAGCCCATTGGAGTTGGGTGGCTAACAAAAAATAAATGAAAATAGTATTCTTTTTCTAAGCTTTTAATTTTTTTATTTTTCTACAAACAAACCAGAGTTACATTTTAGTACAAATAAAACAATATTCTTCATACTTAACACAATTAACAATCTTATAAACTTTTAGTAGTAATACACATATTTTGTTGAATTATAATCTTTCCTTAATTATTCCATATTTCAGTATAAGATTTTTATGCCAATTTCCATATTCTCGACATTACTTCTTTTACTACAGATATAATACTAATAATCATATTTGTTTTGTTTAACAGACTTATATAATTCTAATAGTAATACACAGATTTATATTGAATTATAATCTTCCCTTGTTCCCCTTTCCGATTTTTAGTTATGCCACTGTTATATTTTTTAAAAAATCCCCTTTCTAATCTCTTTTTAAAACAAATAAAACAATGCTCATCTTAGTTATATTTCACAAGTTAAATAATTATAATAATACACATGTTTTGTTGAATTATGATCTTTCCTTATTATCTTGTTCAATAACTCTGGATCCACACTGTTCACACAATGATATGTTTGTAGAAAAATAAAAAAATAAAAAAAACTTAAAAGAAAATAGTATTTTCTTCTACTAGTAAAATAAGTCAATTAAACTCTGCTCCGTATAGTTGTAATGCTGTTATTACAGTGGTGAGCTCGCAGGGGGCTTATGTCATGCATGCATACACACACACTCACATACACGCGTGTACACCAAAATGCATGTGCAAATAGGAACTTGCAGTTTGTATTTTAATTAGATTGTCCTTCCCGTTCTGTATTGACTCACATGACGCTTGATGTATTATGACTGTCCTCCAATCTTGTATGGTCTTTTTTTTGTAATGGTTGGATTACTGTTGCACTGGATTACTAGAGGTACCAGATGTGGCCTGAAGGAATCCGGATGATCACGAGATCTCAGAAAATAATGGCTCAAAATGGAAGGGCATCTCTCTTGCCCCCTACTGGTCATTTGGACGTTTGCAGGCCAGATCAGGTAACCCTAGGATTTTGTCCCAAGGTGGATGAAATCTGTTTTCTTATATCTGTGAACTTCCTGTATCATATGAAATATGATACAAAGTTTGGGATCTGCTGAGAAGATTGTTAATTTTTAAAAAACAATTAAAGGGGTAGAGGAGGAAATGATAAGGGAAAGTGAGAGGAAGAATATGACGGTAGAATAGGTCAGTATTGCAGTTTAAATATTTTCTGTATGGTTTTAATTTTATTCCTTCTGCCAACTTAACATGTGCCCCATGCGTCTATGTAGTAAATGTATGCATTCATCATAGGGGTTAACATTATGATAAGCTGTGTTAGCCGTCTGGCCATCCGGTATAACATACAAACCATTTTTTAAAGTAGCAGTAACCCTGTTATCCTCCTTTTCAATGATACAAATATCTCCCCTAAAGGTTACCATATAGCCAATGTTAACCAGAGCCCTAACTGATAGTAAGTTGAATTTCATGTTAAGTACATATAACATTGGTAACTGCTCATTTAGGAATGAACAACATGCATTATCTTCATCAGACGCCTTCACCTTCCATCCATTTGCCAGAAATACATGTTCCTTGCTTGTGGTCATTTTTACAAACCTTTTTCTATCTCTAGTAATGCTCTGTGATGCTCCACTATCAATAACCCACAAATCATGGTTTATTGGTGCATTGCTAGACATAGCCAAAGTAGACATAGCTAAGTTGACATTAGCATTTTTTCTAGCTCTTCCGGCATTCTGTTGTTTTGCCTTTTTACAGAACCTAGCTATATGTCCCTTAGCCCCACAAGAAAAACATTTTTGAACAATATAGGCAGTAGAAGGTGACTCCTCATGTTGTGGTGGTTTCTCTCTCAGTTGTTCCCTTTCCATCCTTCTTCTTGACTCTTCCAACG